TGTGAACCCACCCCCTGCAAGAATTATAAATGCGCTCTATCTTAGACTAAACACAATTTTTTGAAAAATATTATATGAGACAAGAACACTATGAAGAGACAATCGGGAATTTGTAGTCATTCATTTTATTCTAATTTATTTAAATTTATAGGTCTCAATTTAAATATGAATTAGCAAAAAATTAATAATTGCGATGAAAAGGCGGAATTAAGAAAAATACACTGTTATTGAGTTAACAACATTGAATTTATCAAGTAGGGTGCATTACCTTTCTGAATGAAGGGCTACATTCCCAAGTATTTAAATATTATTACGGTAATTATGATAATTTTAATGTAAACACAAGTGTTTAATATAACAAGTGTTAATGTAAACACAAGTGTAAACACACAGCTTTTTTCATTAGTCAACTTAGTGATAAATTTCCATTAAATTAAATTCTTTTAAATAATTACAATTCTTTTTTTATTATCTTAATTCCTACAATTAATTCTTCCTCTTTTATTGGCTAGCTTTGAAATATATTTGCATAAAATTAAATTCTTTTAAAAATTAACGTTAACAACTGAAGAAAACCAAAATAATACGTTCAAAATAAAAATATTTCCTAAAACCTTTTTTCAAAAAATGAATTTTTTTACGTTAAAAACAAAAAAATTTATATTTTAATGTTGATTCTCTTAAAATTTGAGAAAAATCACTTCAAGAAAGTGTACTTGAATATTTTTGTTGTTGGATGGCAATACGTTCAAAAATTACTTGCAAAGTCGTGCATGCGAAAAATCTAAATTTTCACAAATTCGTATCGTCAAAAATATGCAATTTAAACAGAAACGCAAAAATACGTGTCGATTTATTTTAAATAAAGAACAATAAAAAATAAAAAAAATTATATCCTTCTTGTATCATGGGTGTAAATTTTGTATGGATTGCCCCATGTTTTTTTTTCTTTCTTCAAATTGTGATTAATTACCTTGCAAACATAGTTGATTGGAATAAGAAAGGCTTCAACTGCAGGAAAACTAAGACTTTCCCCCTACAAACGAACAAAAGGCATTGTAAGAGGTGTCTCAAATGAACACTTACAACTAAATGATGGTCAAGATCCCCCCCCCCCCTCCACAGAGTTAATGGTTAGAGGCTATAGGGTTATGTTTTTAAAGGTATGGTCTGGTGCGTTTGATAATAAGTCATGAATATTTTAGCTTTCCCGTTAGAGCTATGAAAAGATGTTAATATATTTTGGCATGCTTGTAAATAATAGAATTAGCATCATAATTTGGCGATTTCAGTGAAAATAGTACTTGGTAGAATAATCGTAGATAATTTGCAACAATGTCAATGCGGCTGCAAGGAAAAATTTCTTTTTTCTAAGTACCCAAAGAGGAATTCTAGTATACAACGAGTATACCTACAAATTGAAACGCCAACACAACGGAGTAGATAACGAATTTTCTTCTAATAGTATTCACTTTAAAACAAAAATACTATACCCTTGATTTCACAATTTATTATATTTATTGGAAAATATTTAGCGTATTGGTAAATAAAATTAATTCGAACACATTTAATTTTCATACTTTTGCTAACACTTTTTAAATTTTAAGGGACTGTGTGTGTGTTTTGACTGTAATTTTTATTCGGGATTAAAAAAAGATCACACAACAATTGTGATGAATGCTTTATAAATATGTTTTAGAATAAAAAAATTTGTAACAAAAATTATCAAATCAGTTTAAATATTCAGTACTTTTTTTCCTATTAACTGATATATTATTTTCTTTAAATTGTAATATTAAGCGTATTGTAATTTAAAAACAATGTATCCGCTAATTTGAATGTGTCATACATTTCTGAAACTCCCAAGTTTAATTGTGTCAATTTGATGGAGCAGGAATCACATTCTGAGAACTAAATGCACACAGAAAAATATTTCGTTAGACAGGGAAATAAAAAATTGCATGTTAGATTATCAGATAACTTATTCAGGGTGGCCACTCAAATCAGATTTCCCTGATTTTTCCAGATAAAAGTCTTAAAATTTCCAGGTTTTTGTTTCTTTTTTCTTATTACGTGTATGATGTGTACAAGAAAAGTGTCTATATTACAAAATATTTCATTAAAAACGTTATTTTTTTAACATATCATCTTGAAAAAAATAATTTATTTTGACAAATTGGCAAGTTTTTTTATTTATTTTTTAATGTTTTGGTACAAAATTTTGAATCAAAAATTAGATATTGACCAACAAAAGAGTAAAATTAAATATTATTATATAGTTGGTTCTTGAAAAAACCTTTCTTTAAAAAAAATTAAAATATGTTATAAAAGGCTAAAATGAAATAGAAAAAATTAGCATTAATGCAACAATTGTAACGATTTGTCGACAAACATTGCTGTTAGCGATTGTGATTGGTTGCTTTGCTGAGAAAAAATAATTCACAGATTTCTTTGAATGGGAGCAGAAAAGCTTTCAGAAAAAGAGTGCAATATAAAATCTATTATTATTAAATTATAACCATCTAATTTTTGGAGAATTTTATAAAATTAAAAATACAAAAACATTTTGTAAATAGAAAAAAAATTACTACTAAAGCATCGGAACAAACTTGAGCCATAAATGGATTCAGCCCAAGGACAGAATTTAAAAACAGAAGCTAATATCCTAATCCTTTTCTCCACCTCCACCAGAATCTTTCCTAAATTGTACAGTCCCATAGCGGTCAAAGGTTTCTACATTTCGTTTAGCAACTATAGGAAAATTTTATGTTGCATTCCAGTTTAACAGAGCTGTAATGGAGCAAATTTTGATGCAAGCAAAGTATCGCTAAGTTGATGATATTTCAACTGTTTAGCGATACATTTTCGTTTAAAAAAAGTGGGTATAATTGATGAAATAATTTAAAGTAAGAAAATTAGTAAAGTTAAAAAAAATATCGAAGAAAAAATTTCCAGCTTTTCTTTAAAATTCCCTGATTTTACCAGGTTTTTATTCAAATTTCCCTGATAATTCCAGGTGGGTGGCCACCCTGTTGTTTTACTTATAAGAAATTAGCAATGTCTCCAATTGAACAAACTTTGTTGAAAAATCCTATTTTTCTTAAAATATATTAAGAAAAGTTGTTGCAATTAAGCAAGTAATAAAAAGCAAGATGACACTAAATTGTGGAAATGAAAGTATTATATATTAGAAATATTTCTTTTCAAATTCTTATAAATTTTAAAATCTTTTGATTAAATAGTAATTAAGTAATGACTCAAACTATAAAAATATATTTTGAAGGTTTTTTAAGCTGTCAATAAATTAGATGAATTAAAAAAAATATTTATTTCAGTAACTTCTGAAAGCGCAAGTTTTTTTTTTTTTTTTTTTTTTTTTTTTTTTTTTTTTTTTTTTTTTNAGATATTTAATTTTTAAGGATCATATTTAATTTTACTACTGTACCTGAAATAATACTGTGCAAAAATACATTATTTTAATCCTTCTCGTGATTATTGCATTTATTTTGAAGAGATGTGTTTGTCCACACACTTTTTTGCTTTAAATAATTATTTCAATCAAATTAAAATTTACAGAAGTAAATATATTGAACATTTATTTAAATATCTAGTCCATTGAAAAGAACAAATATCATTGCCTTTCTAAAACAGATGAAACTAAATTCATAGAACCGTCGCATATATTCATTTTCGATTTCATTCATGCTATTGTTAAAACTCATCTTTTCAAACGAATAAAATACAGTTTCAAAGAGGTAAAGATATTATCTAATCATAAATGTCAAACTCAGAATCAACTGTGTTAATATAGAAAGGAAATTTAAAAATTTTAATGTTTATTCTAAAATAAAAATATTAATGTTTATGGAACGATGAGAGAACATCTATAGGATTGTTTTTAATATGTGACCTTGAACAACAAGTTTACTCTTAATGAAATAATCTCCATTTCTCAATATACCACCCACATGTAAAATTATTGAACTACATACTGTCCCCTGCTCTATTCTCTGAGAAACATATTTTTACTTCTAAGTTTCCAGGAAATGTTTCTACTGGTGCCTTCACAGCTTGCCTTGCCATAATGTAATTTACTTCTCACAAAATAAATTGTTTCACTTATTTTGAAAAAGACAGCATATCGAAATCATTTCAACCTTTTAGTATTGCCTCCTGCACAGGCAAAATGGCATTTATTGCCTCTTTGTTTATCTTCAGAAATACTGATAATATATTTCAGGGTCTGTCATTTTTAAAAATAGCTAATTCCGAACACCTGAGGAAAGGACCACACAATAACCAAAGTAAATGCATGTTTGCATTCAGTATGTCAATCGAGTTAGTATGGATGTGTCTGATAGATGACTTGAAACTTTTTATTTTTAATGTATTAGTTCTAAAAGATTTTAGATCACCAGAAACTTTCTTTTGAACTGAACTTTGCATCTTTTAACAGAAATAAAAATAAGTAAAACTTCTAATTATATTATAAACAAATTATCAAATCTTAGCGATGTAACATTGGATACAACGAAACATTTAGCATACTATACATACCGTTATTGAAATTTTGGAGATATCAAATGCTCGAGAATTTTGTTTAAATTTTTTTTTAAAATGTGACATAAAATTTTAATGCAAGAGGATAGTGCCAGGGTAAGAGGAGAATTTTTTCATCCTTGTTGCTGTAGCCAAAAGGTTAAAAATCATTTAACTTTCAAGCTGATTAGTCAAAAGTTTACTCATTCAACAAATTTGCTATTGAAAAAAAAAAGCAAAATGATTACAGTAAATTCAAACAGTAAACCATAACCTAGCACTAAAACACAAGACAAAGTTCCACAAATCTAAAATATAAGCTCAAAAGTTAAATATTTACAGCTTTTATTACATTTTGAGTTATTTTAGAAACAGTTTAATTGCAGAATAGGAGTAATTCCTTTAAATACAAAACTAGAATTATGAAATTTGATTGTCATCTTCATGCTTTCTGGTACTTCTCTCGTACTCTTCCACCGAATCTTTAAAATACAACTGGATCGCTTTGTCTATTGCTGAAAGGAGAATAAAAATAAAGCAATGAGAATATTTGTAAAGACCTAGTTAGTCTATTCCCATTAAGAAATCCCTAAGATCTTTAACATCATATGCAAAAATATCATTTGCATTCATATTACCTTGTTTTTGTTTAATTTCACAATTTTTTTTCTTTTAACCATATAAAACACAAGATTTTTTTCCATTTAAGAAGACTAATTTCAAATCTTGTTTTGGAAATATAAAAATCGAAAATCAATCAATATACAGATTTTAATTAAGACTAATTTTTATTTTTGAATTGAATACATAAATGTTATAGCTCACAATCGTACGTAAATGATGAATAACAATAAATCTACTTCTTTCTTAGATTTCATATTATAACCAGCAATGAACCGCATTCTCATTTCTGAGTATCAATGTTAAAATCTGTAGCTTTGTAATTTTGAATCAAATCCAGAAGATAAAGGAACTCCTTCCCAATGCTACTGGATCAAGCACAAACTAGCCTGCATGGAGAACATTATGATGGAACTAACCTGCATTAGAATGAGAGAAAAACCTTACACGGTTAACCCGTTGGCAACAGAATTCTAACACATGATCTGTCCAGCACTGAGGATAGTTTAAGTCAGCACTGTGGCCGGTGCGAGCCGGGAGCAGAATTCATATCGATCAACCAACACTGAACAACTTCACTAGGAGGCAAGCGCATTATCCTCCTAGCCACCACGGCTCTTAGCTATTCATTTATATTCAAGTGTGAAAATTACAGCAGCATAAAATACAGCTCCAACTGTATCTCGAGTACATAGTTTGGCCAGTTTAGCATCATTAAATAACTTCGAACACACCCATTAAGGGGAAGGGCTAAAGAGAATAGAAGGGCTAGTTCACTCCGCTCTTAGAGCTGAAGCTACGATTTCCTCCTCACTGTGTATACAGATCTCGGAGATCGCTAGCAAAGATATTATGATAACTTTGCATCTTTCTCTTTGTAAAAATAAGTTAGACTTTTTCTGGTTATTAGATTTCAAACTTTANCTTCCACCGAATCTTTAAAATACAACTCGATCATTTCATCTCTTGCTGAAAAGAGAATAAAAATAAAGCAATGAGAATATTTATAAAGACCTAGATATTCTATTCCCATTAAGTTACCGCTGAAAATAAACTATGAAGTACTTAAGAGAGCATGCTGTTTCGAATAATCGTGAATAACACACAAAAGTGTGTCTCTTTCTTCTATTGATCTGAAAACTTCGTATGATATTTGGTTATAACTTTTTATGGAGAGAACAATAAAAACTGAGATAAAAAACAGACAATGGACCATTAATAATAATAATAAAAAAGGTAACAAGCTAAAATAAACTAAGTGTAAAGTTAAAAAGATGAGAGTAAAAAAAAAATATATATATATATATATATAAAAGCTATCTTAACAAGGTAATTCTTTAATTTATTATAAAGATAGAAACATTTTAACTTAAAAACATAACGGTTGAAGGCAAACATTTACCATGAAAATATTCTGCAATTAACTAATTGATAAAAAGAACAAGATGGATTAAAATTGGGATTTTAATGTAACTTTAAATAAACAGAAGTTAAAACAGAAATACAAGAACTTAAGCTTTAGAAAGACTAACAGGTAAAACAGGTCACAAATGAGGTTGATGTAAATCACAAAGTTTGTTGAAATCAAAGCTCATAGCAATTTCCAAGCCAGCTATTGTAAAAGCTTACTCACCCTTATAATATCCCTTGATTTTTTCTTCCAACTTCATATATTCCTCAAGTGCGGAGGGGTATTTCCTACCTTTTCGGTTCTCTGACACTAGAAAAAAGAAAATTCAACATTACTAAGAAAAATAACAATAAAATAGAAAAGAAAAATATATATTGTAAGCTGATACAAATGTATATTATTCTTAAATTCTATTTTTCAAATAGTTTGAATGCTGATATTTACCTGATTAATTGGAACGAAATTACAATAAACAAATTTACATGAGAATATGTCTCACAAAGTGAAATATCTTAAATAGTTATTACAACTCCACTTAACCAGCAAATAAACATTTAATATCAAATTTCCCCTTTTTTTTAAGTAGTGCAAGTATATTAAAGTTAGTTTAACTCTTTAATTTTTAGTATATAAAGTGCCGTGATACAGAATTATTTATATTTTTGTCCTTATTTAACTGTGAACAATTACTGTATTAATATCTATTAAATGTTCAAAAATAAATTTTTGTTTTTCTTTTATTGAATTGATGCAAATTTTAATCTAAATAAGGGTGAGATATTAAAAGCAATATATTTTTTAAATAAAGGGTCATTGCACAGAAATGTCAACTCAAGTGTCAAAACATTTGTTTTCACAAAAGCTTAACTGTGAGCATCATTTTATTCAGCATTCTTTCTAGTATTTAAATTCTGTCAACAGTTTTATTTGCTGTTAATATTGTGGCTCTGTAAGCACATAGTTGTAGGAAAGATTGAATTATTCTGAAAAACATGAGTCTCAGTTTTCTTACATAATACATAAAATTCTGAGAAATTTTAAAAGAACTATCTTATTATCAAAGTTTAGATCTAAATTCGATAAAATTTACTGCTGTTTCGATACAATATATAAAGTAAGCATTTTAATTAACTCGATTTTTTTGCAGTTTACATTATATTACGTTAGTAAAAAAATGTAATGTTTTCTATTTCTAAACTAAACGAAAAATGTATATTTCTTGAAACTATTAATTTTCTTATATCTGTATCAAAACTAGTTGAAAAACACAAAATATTTTATTTACTTTATAGTGGATGCAAAAAAAAACAAAAAAAAACAAATGGTGTGATTAACACAACAATTGAGATGTGACTAACTTGACAATTTAATGATAACCAATGGAAAATATTTGCAAAATATTTACTTTAGATATAGTAGATGTAAAAAAAAATAACGTAACATAACAATTAAGGCATGACTAACTTAACAATTTAACGATATCCACTGCTGTAACATAGTACAAGATGGACATAAATGATGAGTTAGAAATCCAAACCTTTGCAGTGATATCTGACACCAAAATTCATTCTTATCCGGAAGTCAAGTTGTTTAATGATATGAGAATAAAGGACCGCAAACAGAATTTGAGTTATAAAATAAACTAAGTTATTGTGTGGTCAGATGGAGCAGCAGCTAATTTTATAAGTCACTATGACATGATATTAATGTTAAGATCCTTTGTATTCAAACTGAACTTCAAATAGTCTTATCATGGCAAGGGTCTTCAGGATGGTGTGGGTGTAGCATGTAAACAACGTGTGTAGAAAAGAGTTTAACAATGCAAAATAATAGTAAAGACCGCAAACGAATTTTTCAATAAAGGTCATTATTCTTATGATACATCTTTATATGGGGAAATAAAATTTCAGAAAAGAAAAGGTAACAAAGGATAAAGAATTAGTGAGAAGTGACAAGCCACTTAATCACATTCAATCTGCGCACTTCATAAAAAGGGTTAGAAAGTTTTGTGTTAGCCTATATCCATGGGGTAATTGTGAATATCCTGAAACTTTCTTTAATAAAATCATTAATGACACATTTCAAAAAATTTATGGCTTAATAAATTAATTTAATTCACTGATATTTTCAAACCATGAAACTCTACTGAAATTATATCCAGCATAATTTAAATGAACAATTATAAGTTTACTTTCTTATCTAAACACATTATTCTACCAGAAAAAAAATATTTACAGGGATTGATGAAAACAGGAAAAATAGTTGCTTCAGTTGCATTATAAATGAAAAAAAAAAGTCTCCGAGATATATAAAACAGTTGCCAACATAGTATCCTCCTCTAACATAATTTTAATTATTTGTGCTGAGTATAAAATTAAAATAATAAGCAGTTAGATAATCACATTTTATAAAAAATGGACATTTATTTGTGGATTTGCCAACAATACATAGATAGAGCTATGTTGAAGGAACTGCTGTAGAAAAATTTTAAAAATATCTATTTTTATTTTTTATGAGGCTTAAAGCTTCAGATATCATAAAAGAAACAATAGTTGTAATTAAAAAAAACATTGAAAAAAAAGCTAGGGACTAAAAATTTCAGGTACATATTATAAAAAAAAAATAAAGTAGAAATGTCATTTACATGCATAATTTTTTTTTAAACATTACTATAATAAAATAAAAATTTAGCATACAATAAACAAAACCTGCATTTTAAGGGAAAATTATTATAAATCACAAATAAATTAAAATTAAGAATTTTATGATTGAAAATGAAGTGGGAAAAAAACACACAAGGTAGTATAAAATGTGAAAATTATTAAATTTTTTAAACATTTTCTTGGAGTTTTTAGTATAGAAATCAATTAAATTTGTTTTCCTTTTATGAACAAGTTTATTAATTTTAACCGATTCAATTTCATGTTCTCTCTCTGTTACTCGTAATTTTTCAGCAGCTTTCAATAATCCTTGAGCAATTCTCATTTGAACACTATCATTTTTTTAATGGCATTCAGGAAACATGGCACTGAAAATTTCTTTTAAATCATCACAAGCAAATGGAGAGAAATTACTCTGCACTGACTTTAGCGCCCAAATGATTTCTGTTCTTGCAGAGGATTCTCGACGACTATATAAACTTAAATGTTTTAAGTTATTAGATGGAGTGCTAGGAGGTTTTGATGTAGATGAGGTGCTAGGAGCTGATATAGTAGTGCTAAGTGCCGATAAAGATGTAGTGCTTAATCCTGAAGATGAAGAGCCAGACCCTGATGTAGATGATACTGATTTATGAGGGACTACTGAGGAGAAAATGAAATTCCCGGACTCTTTAGGTTGTAACAACAATTGTTCTACGCATAGTTTTATTGAAGCATTTTTAATATGCATTTCAGTATTTCCATGTTGAGTCAAAGTGGCAAAACCTTTCTTTCCACACAAGATGTTTTTATCACAAATAAAACAGTAGACTTCTGTTTCAGTTCTTTTCTGGTACCAAGAAGATATGTGTTTTAAATTATATCTTTTTTTGAACCACTCAGATTTCATGGTGTATTTTCCCCCCCCCATGATGACAGCTACCCGTAAAGCATGAAATATATAAGTAAACTTTGATAGTCTTAAATAGCTTTACACTTTGAGAACTATGCCAGTTTAAGTAAACTAACCCCGGCAGTCAATCGTTTAAAACAGTTAATAATTATTTTTTATGATCTTTATCATTTTCACTATCATTCATGATCATGAAAATTTTAATTGCAGAAAAATATTAAGATTGCAACACTATATATCATATAATTTTTAGGATTCTAATTTATTCTAAACTTCTTGATTCCTGTAACGTTTAACTTTGCGCCATGTACCAAACCAAACTATACAAAATATTATTTACTTAAAAATTAAAGATACTTTCTGAAATCTGTTCTATTTTAATCAGATGAATTTTAATCTTAGGAATGATGAAATAAATGGAATATTAAATTGAAGTGTTATTTAAAACATACTAATTATTTTATAATCCAACATCAAATTTTCACAAATAATTAAATACTTGTAACTTTTGAAGTGAGCACGATTTCTGATATTAAAAACTAAGCAAAATGAAATGTAAATTACTAAGAATAGTTTTAAAACAAAATAAACGTACATGAAGATATAATTCTAAAGTATTTCTATGTCATTAATAAATTGAAAATTTCAAAATATTAGAAACAACACCCTTTCTAATATCTTCTACATTTGGCGAGAACAGAACCAGATACGAAAATATCCCTGCTTAAAAATAACAATAAGTTAATAAGAATATATTGCACTAAACCATTAAACAAACCCAGGGACAGCAGCCAAAATTTTCAGAAAATAGGAAGGTTTGAAAAAAAAAAGGAAAAAAGGGAGCATTGAAAAGTAAATAAAAAACCCACTTTAAAGTAACTTAATAAATTTTCATGATGAATATTTATTTAAATCGAAAACAAATATAAATTTTAAAAACAGTAATTAAAAATAAAATTGTTGAAAAGATCAAAAATTCTCTAAGTAAGACAAATATTCTACTTTCTACTCTCTCCTTCAAGGTTTTAACAATATAATCATGATGTATAAGTAATAGAATATAAAATTCGTATTAACAAAATATTTCTATAAAAATGAGCTGAGAAAATTTATCTAAAATGTTCTTTTTCGCATTTTGTAGGGGAGGGACGCATAAAATATTTCCTTTTCCGCATTTTGTAAATTATCATTACATTAAAAAAATAATAAAAATGTGAGATCCATTGTAGTAAGTATCAAGAAAAAAATCTACGGCGAAGTAAGGAGACTTGGACTCTTCTAAAAGGGGTTATTAAATGCGCGCTTTGTTTCTAGATTCGGTCGTGGCAATAAATAATATCGCATTAAAAATAACGGACTTTTAAAACTAAGTGGAAATTAAGGGCAATAATTTCAAGAAAAAGAAAAAACATTCAAAAATTTCTTGAAAAAAGAAAACCAAAATTTTTTACTTCGCTATTCTTTTTCATTATTCTCAAATGAGGAGAGAAAAATCACGAAAATTTCTTTCCGATCGCGAATAAGGCAATTTTTGAATATAATTCTGATGAGAAAAAGAAAAAAACCTACGAAAATTTCTGCAGAAAGAACAATAATTTATTTTTTTTAACTTCATAAAGAAAAAATCCTTCTACAAATACTCTGTAACGTTCTGCGACTATGTCGCCATGGGTCTGGCTCAGGATTATTAATATTACCTAGAGTTTTAACTTTGGTTTCAACATTTTGCTGAAACAATTGAAAAGAGAAAGAGAAATGTGTGTTTGTGTATCATTCTTAAGGTGTACGCCTTTTTTCTCCTTCCCCACCAGTCAGTTAAACATGAATTGGGAAGCACACACAAAAGCTGATGTACTAAAAATAATTCATGTTCTACCACGTTCTGCCCCCGCCTCACACCCTTATTCAAAATGAATGAATTGAAAAACAGGTGCAGTTGTTGTTGTAGTTCATTTACGTTGCACTAGAGCTGCACAATGGGCTATTGGCGACGATCTGGGAAACATCTTGAGGATGATCCGAAGACAAGCCATCACAATTTTGATCCTCTGAAGAGGGAATGGCACCCCCGCTTCGGTAGCCCAACGACCTGCACACGAAGTCGAGCACTTAACGATAGAACAGTTTAACGAGGACCGATACCGTACACCCTCAGTCCCTACGCAGACTGATCCAAGTGGTCACCCACCCGCACACTGACCGCAGCCAGTGATGACTTCAGTGATCTGCTGGGATCTTTGCCTTTTTTAAATTACAGTCCCATAGTCTCCATAGAGATCAAAGGTTTCTACATTTGTTTAGCAACCCATGACAGAATTTTATGTGGCATTCTAGTTTAACAGGGTTATAATGGAGCAAATTTTGATGCAAGCAAAGTATAGCTAAGTTGATGACATTTTAACTGTTTGGAGATACATTTCCATCTAAAAAATGTGGGTATATTGGATGAAATAATTTAAATTAAGAAAATTAGTAAATAATTTAAATTAGTGAAATTAAAAAAATATCTAAGAAAAAATTTCCAGCTTTTCTTTAAAATTCCCCGATTTTTCCAGGTTTTTTTATCCAAATTTCCCTGATTTTTCCAGTGTAAAAAAAAATTCCCTGATAATTCCAGGTTTTCAAAGTGGGTGGCCACCCTGCAAAAACACAATTGGCCAAAAAAATGGTAACCATTTTACAACACAAAAAATTATTCATTAACAATGGTAAAAGATGAAGTTTGAAAAAATTTTATATAACCAAGACAACTAAACAATGCACTGTTGTTCTCACTCAGAGCATGTCTTTTTACAACATCTACCTTGATGACACCGCCATCACAACATGGAAGAATGGCAACTTCCAAAAAAGACCATAATTTTAAAAAAATGCAGTGAAATTAAGATAGAATTGCCACGAATCAAACATATCAAATAGAGATAACCCTAATTGTAATTTCATAAGACATAACAACATCCCATTAAGAATATTGAGTTTAAAAAAAAACATGTGAAAAAAATGGTAAATAGCTTCCACAAAATTTTCATCAAATGATGCGAAATTGCAATGAATCGCCACAAACCGAACACATCACAAAAGTGATAACGCAAGTTCAAAATTATAATGTATTAATATATATTGGAATTTGAAACTCTGGTTTGTACCTATATGTGCTTACATGTATAAATACATTTTTTAAATAATAAATTACATTTTTAATTTTTTTTATTGAAAAATTATGCATTATAAAATGCATATTGAAAAATAAATTATACTGTGCACCTAGAAATTACAACTTCAATTACAATTAAAACTTCTTTCTAATAACTATAAAATTTTATCAGACAAAATCTCTGCTATTAATAAAGTTTCAAAATACAATAACAAATAGAAAAATTAATAAAAAAATTTATATAATAACAATAATGCACTGAAGTGGCATTATATTGCACCGAAAATGTGTATAAGGTTTGTAATCAGGGTTCGCCAAGTGGGCCCACTTTGAAAAAACCTGTCTGGGTTTTATTGGGTGGGCCCACCTTGAAAAAACCCACTTCATGGGTTTTTTCACAAATTGGTTTTTTAAAATTTGGTTGGAAAAAAAAAATCTCCCAATACCATCATTGGACAACAAATACTTTAAAAATGTGCATTAAGCACATGGATGGGCAAATGAAAAAAAACTGCTTGATGCCCCAATGACACTAGGTGGAGTTCATATTGTGACCACGTAAAAACTTTTGCCAATAATTACCATTAATATCAAGAGATTTCTCTTGAACATCAAAATGAATCCAATAATAATAATATGTCAAAAATATAAATAATGTTGGGCTTTACCAACAAACTATCAATTGGAAGAAACAGATGTTTCTGAAGCTTTGATGAACAGAAAAGCTTCAATCAGAAAACATCTCAATTTCAGAAGCTGTTGAAATATGAATTAATTTACTATCATGTGATGAGCCGGCCAAGTGGCCGAGTGGTTACCGTGTCTAGCTGCAAAGCCAATGGCTGTGGGTTCGAATCCCGCTCTGGGCATAGATGTTTCTCTCTGTTGTTTTCTGATGTGTGAATGTGGCCCACCCTATAAACGGGATTGTGGCAGTGTGGCGTGGGTAATGTTGCTCGCCTCCGTGACTTTGGTTCACAGGTGCCCACTTGGTAACGATAAACGAGCAACACTTCCGGCATCTTCTTAGGCCAAGAACAAAAGTTCAGTGCCTGCCGTTATTAAAATTAAAAAAAAAAACTATCATGTGATGAATTAGAATCTCATAAACATTTTGTTAAAAGATTCCATCACTCTGCTCAGCCACCTCATTTATTAGCATATGCATACTCGATCTCGAAACAAGGGGACAATTTTTAAATGATGAACAAGAGCAGAAAACTCTTTCTAAGCATCATCCTGAATTTCTGCCACACGTTATGGCATTCAAAATTTCCGATCCAGAATACTTTCCAAAATCAATCGTGCTTGACACTGTTATTCAACAATTTTCATCAAAAAATAGAGGAAAATTATGACATTAATAAATAAATAAAATTCCAAGCTTCCACAAAATTTCTGCCAATTCTTTTTTCTTTACACTCAGCACCAGCATCCTCTGTCTCTATCGAAAAGCACTTTTCAACTTTCGGTTTGGTGTTGAGTAAACTACGAAATAGATTAGGAATAGATAAACCTACAAAACTCTTAAAAGTGTATCACCATCTATGAGAGGACACTTTGAATCTGCTGTATGATAATAATAATAGTAAAAAAAATCTTAAGATTTCCTTTTAATACAATTTATTTTGTTTCTTTTAATCATGTTTAAAAATATTGAAAACAAAGGAAACAAATTTTTCTATTAAGTGATATGTTAAACAACAATTAACAAATTTAAAGTTTTATTTTGTGGTTTTAAAAAAATAAGCTAAAACTTTTTATCTATGCATTTTTATAATTTTAAGATAAATTTTTTTTTGAAATTTTAAAGTTAAAATTTATCTAAAAAAAAACGCAGTCTTTTTTCTAAGGTTAAATATTAGCAAAATGGGACAAATAACTAATACTCTTTTTATTTATTCATAGTTTTAACTTCACTTTCTATTAAACGTATTATAAAAACATGGAAGATCAAAATATTTATTCCAGTTTAATTTTATTACAGGTAAAAGTCAGATGGAATTTTAGTTTTTACGTATACAACACTATTTAATAAATAAAAATATTTTCACAGTAAGATTTTAAAGTTTATGAGCACTAAATGAAAAAACCCAATTTCGCCCAGGTTTTTTCAAATAAAACCAAATTACCCCCAGGTTTTTTCAATAAAACCAGGGCAGGTTGGGTTTTTCAAACCCTGATTGTAATACTAAAAATTATAACCTTTTTCTTAAACATCTATAACACTCAAGTAAAAATAAAAAACTTATGAGCTGCTTCAAAGTTGTTGTTTTTTTTTAGTTAAATAAATTATTACAACACAACTAACAGTCTTATGATACATAATCTATTTATCTTACTTTTTTCTGATGAGGATACACTTGAGTTGGAAGAAATCTGTCTGGTTCTTTTCTTTTGAAATGGTACTTGATTTTTTTCTTTGTTCATAAATGAATAAAAATCATGAGGCACGGCAGGACTTGGCAAACACCCTTCATATGGCTGAATACCCTGATGAATGCATGGTGTTATTACAGGATTTAGAGTTTGCAAATAACCTTCATGTTGATGCTGATGGCCCTGATGAATCCATTGCATCATTGTAGAATGTTGTTCAAGATATTGTTTATAGAAATGCTTGCTCCAGCAACATCTATCACACATCTTAAAAAGCTCTAAAAAATATATAAATTTTAATCAATCGAATTTATGATAATGTATAGAGAATGAACCAAGGTTGGCATATGGTACATAAAAGAAACCTATTTCTTCCAAGAGAATGGAAGAAACTGTTCAAATTGGAAAAAAAAACTGGACAAAATGGCCTAATAAAGACCGATAAATAATTTAGCAATTTATATTACAAATGACCTATAAATTGTTTAACAATTTATACTACTTTTAATATAGCGTGTATGCTTTAACCTTCCGTTAGACACGCGCACCTCACAGGTGCATCTCTACTACACTTCCCCCTCCTTTACCGTCAATAGACGCTTCCGAGGGAGGAGCCTAATGTTATCTTCCTATCTTCGGATTACTCAAAGGTCAGTGTACTTTTGACCTTCAAACATGTCGTTGGAAGGTTGCAGCAGCTCAGTTCACCCAACAGGTGCAGCGCGACCATTGACGTAAGTATTATGCATAAAATATTTTCATGAATTAAATATATATATATATTCTATCCTATTTTCTGCAATTGCGAGAATACTTTTGTTGGATTGTAATAAAAAAATCAGTAAATGCAGGAATTACTCTAATCACCTAGTAGGTGCAATGCGACTAAATCCATTTTACCTCCGACTTTTATTCTAGAATGGATTCAAAAAAGAGAACCTTTGACTTGAAGAATCCCAATGACGTGAATGAAATTCATAGAATATTGTTTGATGATGATTCAACGGAGGCGGAGGATTTTGGAGATCTATCCGATACTAATAGCGGAGATGATCTTCAAGTGCGGGACCAAGATTCAGAAACGGAGCAAAGCAACGTTGATTTATCGTCTGAAGACGAAAATTCTGATAATGAGACATGCTACATAGCCTATCAAAAGAATAAAGGAAAGACTGTCGATTCATACCGATGGAACAAACATCCACCATCTAGCAGGAAGAAAACTAGCAAGCAGAATGTATTGATACGCTTACCAGGTGTGATTGGTGATGCAAGAAAAGCTCAGACAAATTTAGATTCTTGGCTACTTTTTATTGATGAATCAATTCTCAACTGCATTGTAAAATGGACTAACCAGTACATTGATCTGGTGAGACCTGAATTCACTCGAGCCAGAGATGCGCTATCAACTGATATCATCGAGATAAAGGCTTTCATCGGATTATTATACCTCGCAGGTGTATACCGTGGATCACGCCTGAATGTAGATGATCTTTGGGATATCAATGGAGATGGTATAGAAATATTTCGTCTCACCATGTCATTAAGCCGCTTCCAGATGCGCTATCAACTGATATCATCGAGATAAAGGCTTTCATCGGATTATTATACCTCGCAGGTGTATACCGTGGATCACGCCTGAATGTAGATGATCTTTGGGATATCAATGGAGATGGTATAGAAACATTTCGTCTCACCATGTCATTAAGCCGCTTCCGAATTTTGATAAGATGTATTAGGTTCAATAACAAAGAGACAAGAGAGGAGAGAAGAAAATTCCACCGACTTGCATCAATACAAGATATTTTTGAAAGTTTTGTCGCAAACAGCCAAAAATGTTATTCTTTCAGTGATAATGTCACATTAGATGAAAAACTGGAGGCATTCCGTGGTCGCTGCATCTTTCGACAATATATACCATCCAAACCCGCAAAATATGGCATTAAAATTTTTGCTCTTGTGGATTCGAAAGTCTATTACAGTTATCACATGGAAATCTATGCTGGCAAGCAACCGGAAGGTCCGTTTGCTGTTAGTAACAAATGTACTGATGTTGTTCGTAGGATGGTAAGTCCAATAGTCAACACTGGACGAAATTTAACTGTAGATAATTGGTTCAGTAACGTTCCCCTAATGAAAGAACTTGCAGATAAAAAATTATCCCTCGTTGCTACATTAAAGAAAAATAAGTGGGAGATTCCCGATGAGTTAAAAAAAGTTGGGAAAAGAAGTGACAATTCAAGCATTTTCGGTTTTTGTAAGGAAGGAACTATTGTTTCATATGTCCCTCGCAAAAACAAAAATGTCATTCTCATACCCTCTCTTCATTTTGATGAGGCAATAGATTAATCTTCGGGGCCTAAAAAAAAAACCTGAAATCGTCACATACTACAATAAAACAAAAGGGGCAGTGGATACTGTTGATAAATTATGTGCCACATATAATGCAGCTAGAAATGTTCAACGTTGGCCCATGGTAATTTTTTTCGCCCTACTCAATGTAGCAGGTATAAATGCTCAAATTATATACGCAGGAAATGGTTACGAAGTGAAAATCCGCAGAACCTTCTTGCGTCAATTGGCTAAACATCTTGTGATGGATGAAATGGCAAGAAAAATTTAGCAAGAAAAATTTACCTTCAGTAATTCGCTTTCGATTGGCAGATATCACGAAACAAACTTCTCAAGCCGCAGAAAATTCACTGTCTGAAAATCAAGCAAAGAAAAGAAAATTGTGCGAGCCATGTCAAAAAAATAAACAACGAAAAAATACGAAATATACTTGTGCTACTTGCGGAAAATACTTATGTTTGAGTCATGTAACAACAATTTGTAAAGACTGTCACTCATGCAAAAATTCTTGCTCAGATGGAGATAGTACTGCATCAGACAACCTTTAAAATAATTTTTTAATATGTGATATTGAAATAAGTTGTTCCTATATACAAGACTCTTAATGTTTTGTTTTTTTTTACAAATTTTCTTACCTTTGTTTTTCTTTATGTTGTGCAATTATTTGTGATACTGATTTTTAATAAATTTTTCAATCTAAATAAGTTTTTTAACATTTATCTCTCTAAAGAGTCTTAAATTGTTAACAATTAACTATTTAAACTAGAATAAATTTCACTTGGCTTTCAAAAAATCAGAATCACCTCATAGGTGCAACGCGATTAACCAACAAGTGCTCGACTAACGGAAGGTTAAAGTTAAGCGGCTTACGGCTTACATTGTGAAAAATAAGGCAGTGGCTATTACACCGATCATCGGTAAGATATCCTCTGAGCCTTGGCCAAAGGATTGGCGATCGAAATGGGCAGCAGGTGGC